AGTGAATAAGTCATCTGTGGATGCAGGTCAGTCAGGGAGGGAGGCGGGGAGGCAGGAGAAGATGCTTTCAAAAGGATGTGCAGGGTCCCCATGTGATGGGCTCCATGCCGCTGCTTCATGACAAGGCAAGGAGGGAGTGACAACTTGCCTGACAGCATCTTGCCTACCAGGTCTTCTCTGGAAGAGGTGCAGGCAGCAAATGCATCTCAGAGAAGAACCAGGTTCTGGGTCACTGAAAACCTTGCACAAGAGTTTGGGGATCACTTGGGAGGCAATGGAAGCCACTGAGAATTTTCCCTCTCTCCCTCTCCCCTTCCCTTGCTCTGTCTTTTCCTCCCTCCCTCCCTTCCTTCCCTCCAATGTATGTTGTAGGAAAAGCCCTCTGGGAGCTGTAGTGAAGGCAGTCCTGCAGGGAAGGAAGCCAATCAGCAGACTATTTGAAGAAATGAGCAATGATGGTAATAATAAGCAATATGAAGGTAGAAACAGTGATAGGAATGGAGGGGATACATTGTTAGACAAATGCTAAGAGGTGATCTCCGGTTTAGGAGTGAAGGAGAGAAGTAAGTAGGAATGACACTTAGGTTTCTGGTTTAGGTGTCTGGGAGGTGTTGTACCCCTCAGATAGAATGTAAGCTGAGGAAGGTGGGGGTTTGTCTTAATCACTTTCTTGTTGCTGGGACAAAATACTCAATATCCACAAGTTAAAGGAGGTTTATTTTGGCCCATATTTTGTAGAGGTTTCAGTCCATAGTGGGCAGATGAGTAAGAGCTCAGGGCATGGCAGGCAGGAAGCAGAGAGGGATCAACAAAGGAGGAGGGCTATACTCCCTTCCAGGCCACGTCCATAGTGATGCCTCTCTTTCCACCAGGCTTCACCTCCCAACATTGCATCTAACCTGTCAGTGGACTAATCCAGTATCAAATATTCATGATCCAGCAGCTTCTACAAGCCCCATCTGTGAGTGTATGAGGCTTTGGGAGATATCTAGATATAAGCCATAACAGGCATGATGGTGAAGATTATGTCCATTGACTTTTGTTTAAAACAACACACCCAAATATTTGATATTTTTAGGTGTATTTGCATCTAGTTTTTTATGGTTTGATTTTTTTACACTTAAGTCTTTAACCCATCTTGGGTCCATGAGGGTAAAAGATATGAAGTGAAGGCCCCAATTTGTTTCCATTTGTCAAGTATCTGACTAGTTGTCCCAGCACTAATTATTAACAGCACCCTTGGGGACCAGGTTATGTGATAGAGGTTGGGGGCCCAACTGTGTGACTTATGCCTCTGCAGTCCCAAGGTCTGTATGACCTTGCTTCAGGAACAGTGAGGTATATGGAAGGCCGACTGCCCCCTGGCTAAGGGTGAAACACTAACAACCCAGCACTCCTGAGGCAAGACAGCATCTGCTGATGACAGTTGTCTGAATATACGCATTTGGGTTTGGAGAAAATCTGGCTTCTCTTTAATTTAATCCTTAGCCATCCATTTCCTATAGTTACTGCTCCATGAAACATGTGCTACTCCTCCCCCTGCGTCTTTTTTTTTTTTTGGTACCAGGAATGGAACTCAGGACCTTGAAGTTTGCCAGGCAGGTGCTGTGCCACTAGCTAAGTCCCGCCCCCCGCACTTCTGGTAGCCAATAAAAGTGAGCCAATCGTGGAGGTTCTCCAGCCAGTCCTTTAGAGTCCAACACCTCCAGGTTCCCCTTGTATCCTGAAATTTGTCTCTTTGTCTTTATTTTCTGTCCTCCCCACTACAGATATCTGAGGGTCTGATCAGCCATTGGTACACCACCTTTATAATATATTAAAGTTATATATTTACACACATGCTTTGGATTTCTTGGATATTTATGCGAGGGCCACACTGCTTTTGCAATCACATAGCATGTGCTTGAGTATGTGGCAAGGTAGGGTCTGAATGAAAGTGCATGAGAAGTAAGTTGGATTTTGGATATGTGTGAGGTCCAGATGGTGGAATGTTGGGTAAAAAGTTCTAGCAGTTGGATATGGTTCTAAAGCTAGGGGCAGAGGTCGGGGCTGAAAAAGTGGATTTGAGGTGGAAAGCAAAACAAAACAAAACAGTTCCCCAAACCAAAACAAACCAAACAATAACACAATGAACTAAGACGTGTAATAAAAGAACAAAAATAATACATCTGGTCAATTATCTTTCAAAAATAGGGAAGTAAGGGATTTTCAGACAGAAACTGGGAGTGTTTAGCACTAACACATTACCACTAAATGCAGAAGAAAAATCATTCCAGCTGGAATATCTGATTTGTAAAGTGTTTGGTGGCAGAGTTTAGTAAACAGGAGAGCAAATGTAAACAAATATTGCCCACATAAAATGATTGATTTAATATTAGAAAATCATATGATCTTTATATAAAATACAGAAAATGCATACAATAAATTTCAGTATGTGCCCATTCGGATCTTAAAAAGCATAGAAAAAGAAAGACATTTCCCTAACTTGATAAAGGACATTGACAAATGCCTACAGTAAACATTCTTCTTTATAACAAAATTTTAAAAGAATTCCCTTGTACAGCAGAAACATGACAAAGATATCCATTTTCATTGGCCCATTTGAGGCTGTCTGGAGACGTTTACTACTACTATATCACAGAAAAAGAAATGAAACCATCATTATTTGTAGATAATATGTGGAGACCCCAAAGAATCTACAGGTAAATTATCATAATTAATAATAGTTTAGGAAATATGCTGGATATAGAAATTAATAAATAAAAGTCAACCGCATCTAACAGTTTGTTCCAACAGATATTACATGGTGTTTGATAAATTTTATTCTATTAAAACTAAGAATTTCCCTCCATCAAAAGGTACCACTGAAAGGCAACTTAAAATTTTAAATAAAAGCCTGCCAAGAATGCCTGCTAAAACCAGATTGACATATCCAGACAAACCTGATAATGGGACATTTCTTTCTTTGTGTAACCCATACTTTGTATAACTGATGGCCTTGTAATGTAACTTGAGATGTTCAAATTCCCTCAGCAACCCATGATGTCACCCAACCCTCCAATCACATGTGTCAAATCTGCTTTTGTACCTCCCCACTTGCTTTGCCTATAAAAGCCCTGAAACCCCACCTGGCAGGGCTGTGACTCTTTGGGAGAAATCCTAGTCAGAAGCCCACTGTGTAACAAACTGCCTCCTAAACCTTCTCAGTGCCATTCTTTCTGTGTTTGGTCTATTTTCTGTAACACCATAGGGAGGAAGAAAATGTAAGCCTCAGACTTGAATTATCTGTAACACATACATCTGAGAAATGATTAGTAGACAGACTATATAAAGTATGCCCATAAATCAAGGAGAGAGTTACTTCAAAAATCTTAACTTTCACATAGAAGATAGAAAATGGGAAAAAGACTTCAAAAAAGTATTTAACATAAGACTAAGTAGGACTAAACATGTGAAAAGATACTCATCCTCATTAACAATAGAGAAGTGCAAACTAAAATAACAGTACCTTTTGTCAACCATTAGTTTAGGAAAAGCGTTAGGAAGTCCAACACCACCAAAGGTTGGTGAAGTTGTGGGGAATGTGGGCCCTTTATGCACTGCGAGTGTAAATGTAAATCGGTACTCTCATGTATCTTGGTAGTTTTAACCTTGGATATGTGCCCTGGAGAATCTTTGTACAAGTACAGCAGCATATATGAATGCAAGAATGTTTATAGTGGTAGGTTTCTAAAAGCAAACAACTGTTATTTCTCCAGTATTTCTTAACCTAGAATGGACCCCCCCCCCGCTCCCTCTTTCTCTCTCTTTCTCTCAGACATTATATCCATAGGCTAGAACACTTATTGAATAAAACAAACTCAATATACCTATACATCAAGATGCATGAATCCCGAAAGCATTTCGTTGCACAAAAAAGTCACAGAGTACATACACTGTGATTTAATTTCTATAAAGTGAGAAAGCAGAAAAAAGCATATTTTATATAAACTGACACATATATGCTAAAACTCTACAGGAAGTAATCATAAAATCCAAGATGACGCATGTGTGGAGTGTGGGAGAGAGACAATAGGGAGAAGCTCTGGAACTGGCAAAGTTCTGATTCCTATCCTAAGTGGTTGGGTTGAAAGATCTTTATTTTATAGTAATTTTTTAACTATTACATATATGTAATAAACACTTTTATATGCACATCACAATAAAATGTGTCTAATGCAAGAGAGTGGGGAAAAAGTGAAGAGACTGAGTTGTCATGAATATGAACTATAGGACCAATGTGACTAAAAACTGTAATGTTATACAGATAGTTATTTGTGATATAGTTACATTTTCTAGTGTCTTCATGATACAAAGATTCAAAAGTATAAGGAAGGTGCTGTGCTTTTTAAAACTGTGTTAGGCCGGGTGTGGTGATGCACACCTGTCATCCCAGCACTTGGGAGTCCGTGGCAGGAGGACTGCTGAGAGTTTAAGGCCAGCCCGAATTGCTTAGTGAAACCCTGCCTCAAAATAAACAAACCCCCCAAAACTGTTAGACAACTCCGAAAAGCCTCTGGTGATGACAAAGCCAAGATACTGAAGATGCATGGAAAGAGATTCATCAAGTTATTTTTTTCATGAAATTACAGTGAAAAATACTTCAAACACTTTACATATGGTTTTAATTATGTCTTTGGTTAATCTATAACTACATAATGCAAGCTTATATTTTTATCCTCTACATTTATAAAATTATATGTATATTCCACTTGCTAAAATTTTTTTTCCAATCATGGTGTTGAGATTATGGTGTTCTATATGCACATGCCATTAATACATATGTCAGGATAGAAAGCATTGTACCTGGAATGAATTTTTGCCATTTTTGATCCACATTGTACTTCACACAGTGATTTCCTGCAGGAAATATAACGATCTGTTCATCAAAGAAGAAGATATTGTTGGTTACGTGAGATCGAAGACCAAAAACATGCAGCGACTGAGCTACCACGGTCGACATGGTACTTTTCCGGAGTTCTGCGAAAGACAGAGGGCACCCGGCGAGTGTAAGCGCGCCTCACCCCGCTCCCAGTCATTCTCAGCCTCCCGACTCCCTTCTTAGGCTCCGTCCCCGCTTTCCTTTTCTCTGTACTGCTTCCAGCTCGTTCTGACGACTCCCAGGGATCCATTCCCACCTTTTGCTTCTCCCTAGGTCACCAGACCACGCACATATCCAAAGGCGCTAACTCTAGAGATCTCAAGCAATCCTTGGACGCCTAACGCCGGAGCCGTTCCTATAGCAACCACAAACCGGAAGTTGTCTCACACCGGAAGCGGAAGTCCCCTTGGAAAAGCTGCGCCGCAGCGGCGAGTTGCGGCGGTTCTCGTTGTTCGAACGCACGTGGAGTCGCGCAGCGCGAGTCTGGGCTGAGGGTGGGATCCCGGGTGAGAACCTGTGAGGGTCCCAGCCGCGCGGGCCTCGGGCTGTCCCGCTCCTTCCGGTGGGCGTGCGAGATGGACACTCCGCCGCTCTCCGGCTCCGACTCGGATTCCGATGATTCTCTGGTCACGGACCGAGAGGTAGGTGACCGCGGAGCTCGCGGGACCGGGCGCGCGAGAAGGACCCGTGTTCCTCTGGTTATGACCCCTGCTCTGCCCTGCAGTTGCAGGATGCGTTTTCCCGCGGACTCCTGAAGCCAGGCCTCAATGTGGTGCTCGAGGGGCCGAAGAAGGCCGTGAACAACGTGGTGAGCTCGGGTGCCGGGTCGCACAGAGGGTGCTTGGAGTTGGGATGCGCACCGGGAGGAGCTGTGCTTGGGAGACTGATGCTTGTCACGGGAACCACAGATTTGCCGAGAGGGTTGATTACCTGTCAAGCTATTTGGTTAGGGTTTTGTCTTGGCTTAGCACCCTTGTTTGGGACAGAAAAACTCAGGGCCCTAAGCTCAGTGTCTGAATTATTTAGAGTGGCCTGAAGCAATGTTTGGCCGAATTCGAGCGGGATCTAGAATGGGTTGAAAGGCTCGATGTGACCCTGCCTCCCGTGCCGGACATCAGTGCACCTGAGCCAGCACCTCAGAAGAAGGACCAGAAAGCTGTTAATCCAGAAGACGACTTCCAGCGGGAAATGAGTTTGTATGTTTTTTTGCTACTGTGGGAGAAGTGGGGGGGCATTCCTGTGCTAGAGGGTCCAGGGAGAGGACTGTGGTGAGGCCTCACCCTCAGGAACCTAGGGAGTTAGCTTGAGCCTGGGAATGGAGAGGAAGTTGGGAGATTCTTTGCTGAAGAAAAGAGCCCAGTGTTTTTGCGTGTGCGTTCAGTCACTAGAGCAAACTTTGCTTATGAAAGCTTCTTGTGAGAACTTTTCTTTAGGGATTACAGAAGAATTCATAATTGATATTTGCTTATGTGTTAATGGGTACCGTTAGAGTGGTCGCCCTCTTATACAACTAATTTATTTTTAGCAGCACTTCCTTCCTTTTGAAAGATGGTATACAGAGAAGTTTCTGTAAGATTTCAAATTAGTGAGGTTTTATTACGACTTTTGTTGGTTTATTCCTTTGTTCTGACTAGTGGAAGTCAGATGTTCGTAGTCCTGATCTTGGTTAACTGAGAGGCAGTAAGAGGGCATGGAGGCCTTTCTCCCTCCTCTCATCCCACACTTTGTCTGTAATCTCAGCTACCGCCAGGCTCAGGCAGCAGTGTTGGCAGCATTACCCCGCCTCCACCAGCTCAAAGTTCCTACCAAGCGGCCCACTGATTATTTTGCAGAAATGGCCAAGTCCGATCAGCAGATGCAAAAGGTAAGTTTTTCCCTGGAAAGCCAAAGCTTTGTACTGAAGTGTAGTCAGTAGATTTATCTCCCATATTGTTTTTTAAAAAATAAGTCCAGTACTGGGGAGCTGGTTTTTAGAGATAATTATTATCTTTTCTAGAAATTCATTAGAGTCATGGCAGATACCACCCATTAGATACATGTGAGATTACATTTTTCTATTTAAATAAGAGAAGTATGGTCTCTGAAGTAAAAGTGGGTTTCGTGTTTCCCTCCTGCCACGGTAATGGCTTGGTTTGTTCTGGTCCTGCTGTTGCCGCTAAGCAGTGCTGTCACTGTAGACAGTTTGTATTCTGTGGGCTTCAGTTTTCTAGGAAATGAGGGGTTACTATAAGGCTCAATTGTAGTATAATATAGACTTAGGTGTAAGACTTCTGGTCTGCATTTAATTTTGGGAGGAGGAGGAGGATTTCTAGTATATATCCAGGGTATATTTAAATATTTCCCTCTGTCTCAGGCAAGACTTTATGAAGCTCTTGTCTAGCTGGTACTGAAAGAACTTCATCTGGAGACGAGCTCAGATATATCTCTGTACATTCACACTTACAATTTCATATTTTTAGCTGAAATGTGTATGTTTGGTGAAAGGGGCTAGGTGTTGGATGTGTGCTGGAGTTTTTCTTGTTTGTGTCACTCATTAGAGAAGGGTACTGAAGCTGCATGTTATTTTGCAGAGATTAAGGATGGAGAGTCATTGATCTTTCTTGGACTACATTTTTGTATAATAGAACAGACATCGCACTGGGAGTGGGAAGGGCACTTTTAATCTCTGGCTCCACCAGTGACACTGGTATATTAGGCAAAGGGCTGAGCTTTTGGGCCTTATTGTCCTCATGGGTTAAAATACAGTAGATGATTTATACCATAGTTTTCAGAACTGAGAATATTTGTTCCTTGATTTGGTGTACTCTAAGATGGTCTGGCAACATTTTGTTTGCATTTTAGATTCGACAGAAACTGCAGACTAAACAAGCTGCCATGGAGAAGTCTGAAAAGGCTAAGCAACTGCGAGCGCTGAGGAAATATGGAAAGAAGGTGAGGAAGAAAATGTTCAGGAAATAGGATGAAACCAATTACATCTGTCTGATGGGATGGCTGTGGTCTGATTTGGTTCCATGCCTTATGTGTGTTTGTCACGTGCTTCCTGTGTCATAGTAGAGCGTGTGTGTTGGGATTCAAGAGCACAGTTTCACCCGAATACCTGTGTAGCAACAGTAGTACTGTGGAAATGGCAGGCAAGCTAGTCATCTCTTTGGAATATAGGTTCCACATCCATGTGGTAGAGAGCTGAAATCAGATCAGTGGTTTCCAAACATTATGTCTCAGCAAAATCAGGAGAAAATTTTGAAATATTTCTAGGCGCCAGAATTTCTGAGAATCTTTGTATGCTTTCTCTCTTTTCTAAAAAGCCTCTCAGGTACTTCTGATGCATTTCCTGGGTGTGACACACTGGCCTCCATGATTGTCAGGTCACTGGAGGAATTATTCTATTGATTATCATCCGGTCTGAAAGGTAAAGGGTCACACAGTGTTTGACTGTAACTGTCAGAGTTCTAATGTAAAACTAGATTAGACAGTCCATGAAAGCTTTTTGGTTTTTCTTTTTCATTGAATAGGTCACCTAAGAAAGAAGATGACAGGAAATAGGGTTGTGGGAAAGAGTGAATGTGAGGAGGATCTGCGTGGATGTTAAGCATTTGTAAGCATTTTGGATATAATCTTTATAACCTGGGGCCTGGAGTTGTCTGCAGTTAGGGTCATTTCATTTATGAATCCTCAGCAGAGGCGGAGTAGGTGAGCATTCTGTCCTCTGCAAAAGGTCTGCTGTGGATTTGGTGTTTCTGTGATTTGGAAGTGGCTGGCTGATACTATCTCAAAGACACTGGCAATTAGTTAAGTATAACCTAATTTATTAAGAGCAAAGAAAAACTCTTGGGCCTGTTGGCTTGCTCTTTCTTATTTGAGGAAACCTTGGGGCAGTGTTTCTCAGTGTGAAGTAATTTTGCCTCACCTGCCCCCCAACCTTGACACATTTTTCATTTGTCACATCTTGGGTGGAGGTGCTACAGGTATTTAGTGGCTAGAAGGCAGGGATGTTGCTAAACATCCTAAAATGCACAGGAAAGGCCTTACCCACCAACAGAGGATTACTCCTAAACTGTCAGTAGTGTTGAGATTGAGAAACCCTGCCCTTTTTAAAAAAATTTAAATCCTTTTATTTTAAAAGTACATAATGTTTATATTCCTTGTGGGGAGTTGGTCCATGTACATAACACATCTTAATTCCTCTTCTCATCCTCTGTCCCTCCTTCCCTCCTACCTCCCTCTATTTTGATCCCCTTTGAGAAGGGTTTGCCTCCCTTCTTCCTATCATCTGTCTTTCATTTTATTCTTTATTTGCACTTTGGGTTTTTCATAAAAGAGAAATCATGTAATATTTAAGCCTGTATGTCCAGTTTATTTCACTTAACGTTATGGTCACAAGGAGTATCCATTTTCTTACAAGTGACTCATTTATCTTTATGACAGAGTAGTATTCCATTGTATTTAAAAACCACATATTCTTTATCCAGTCGTCTGTTAATATGCACTTTCAAGATTTAGTTATTTTGAATTGTGCTGCTATAAAAATGGGCGTGCATGTATCACTGTAATATTATGTCTTTAACTCTTTCAGGAAGATACCTAGAGGTGAATAGTAGCTGGGTCAAATGGAATTTCTGGTTTGGTTTTTTGAGGAATCTCCATACTGATTTTGAAAGTGATCAGACTAGTTTACATTCCTGCCAGTAGTGTAGGATGGTTGCTTTTTCCCCCACAGGCTCTATAGCCTTTGTTATTATTTGATATCTTGATGATGGTCATTCTTTCTGGGGTAAGGTGGAATCTCAGTGTTGTTTTAATTTACAATTCTCTTAATGGCCAATGATGTTGAGCATGTGTTCATATATTTGTTGGCCATTTTTACTTCTGTGAAGCATCTATTGATTTCAGTTGCCCGTTCTTTTGATTGTGTCTTTGTCTTTTGGGTAGTCAAATTTTTTTGTGATATATATATATATATATTCAATTCCCTTTGTTTTTAAAGCTTTTTAGTTTTTCTTTATTTTCTGGGGTGATTTGTTACTTTCATCCCTTGTAACAATGGGTTGGACATTTAATCTGTCCAGTTATAATTAATGGGCAAAACTGAATGTAGATCTAAATATGATTTGCTAGTTTTATAGGCAGGAATGTATGTTGGGATAAAAGTGCAGGCTTTGGAGTAGGGCTGCTTGGATGTGGATCTCAGTTTTGTGCTTTCTTGCAGTGTAACTTGGGCAAGAATGTAACCACTCTGCATTCATTTAGTAAAACTTCATTGAATGGTTATGAAGAAGAACTAAGACTGTACCTAGAGCCCTTAGCGTGGTTTTGGGCATCTATCAGTAAATGTTAAATGGTGGTGGTGTGAATCACAGTGTGTTTCTGTGTTTGTTTTTTCCATTTTTATTTATTTATTTATATTTTACCGGTACATTTTAGATATACATAATGATCACATTCATCATAGAGAATTTGTACCTGTACGTGATATAACTTGTTTTCCCCCATCCTCCCACCGTCCCTTTAGCCCCTCCTCCTCTCCCCATTTACAAAGTTTTGTTTCTATGTTTCCCTTTTCTCTTTTTTTTACTTTTCCCTTCTTTCCTTTCCCCCTTCCCTCTCTTGCATTCCCCTCCCCATTCTGTGCTTGTTTTCTAATACATTATTATTATTGAGAGAATGTAGACAGTTGGAATAATTTCCTTGTGTCCACACCACAGGTGCAAACAGAGGTTCTGCAGAAGAGGCAGCAGGAGAAGTCACATATGATGAATGCCATTAAGAAATATCAGAAAGGTCAGCACATCTTTGCTGAGGGAGTTGGGGAACAGGGAGGGGTAGTAGATGCGTTACAAGAATTTTGGACACACAGTTCTTTGATGTCCTCTCAATTGATGTGGAACTGTGGACCTAAGTTTTGAGGCGCTTCTTAAAAACCTTTTAAAAAGAAGTACAGCTGACCCAAATGCTTCTTTACTTACAGGCTTCTCTGATAAATTGGATTTCCTTGAGGGAGAGCAGAAACCTGTTGCCCGGGGCACAAAGGCAGGAGCTAAAGGCCAGCAGATGAAGAAGGGGTAAGAAGCATGCTGGTTTGGTTCACTTTGCTTTGGTTCTGTGATGTGTAGTAGGCCAACAGTGTGTGAACATCTTGGAAACTTCACAGGATGGCCCTGAGTGGAGAGAGGGCAGCCCTTGCTGTGGCTAGGACTTACAGTGCCTTGTGATGGTTCTCTTCAGCCATGTCAGCCTTCAAAGGTGACAACCAGGTGTTTGCCTTGTTTGAAGTTACCACTGTAGCAGTGTGTGGCTCCCCTTCTCAGAGTGCGGTGGTAGAGAGTACAGACCTAGGGTTCAGATCCAGAATCTGCCACTCAGGGGGGTGGCTCTGAGCAGGTCACTTGTTGATGGCCTCATCTGTTCCCATGGAGAAATGGTTTGTGCCTCACTTACAGTACCATAGAGACTGAAAGGGAGAAGGTTGCATTTTTGTTCTGTTTAGTCCAGCTTTCTGCACACCTGTCCTAGGCCTGGACAGCAGGCCTAGGAGAAATGAAAATTTTCGTACTATAACATCAAGTGCTATGATAGAGACATTTAGAGACGATCAGTTAAGCACCAAGTCTGGGGATGGCTTCCTGGAGGAGGGGCCCCTCCGAGCTGAGTATGAAGGATGAGTAAAGATTGTCCAGAAAGGTAGGCGAGAGGCTGGTTTGGGGAAGAAGAAAGAACCCGAGTGAGCAGAGGCACGGAGATGGGAGGCAGCAGGCTGGTGTGAGGAGCAGCTGGTGTTCGGCATCTCGGGCGACCGGGGGTACAGCATGAGGTACGGAGCAGTGAGCGGGGCTGGGGGCCTGGCCTGTTCGCTGGCTGTACCCACAGTGATGACTGGGTTAGGGCATGTTTGAAAAGATAACAGTGACACTTGTGGATATGGACCAGAGGGAAATGAGAACTTGATTGGCTGTTAGAAAAGCTCAGATGAGCAGTGATACTACCCTAAAAGTGCAGTCAGGAAGAAAGGAAATGGAGGGAGAAACACTAAAGAGGTTAAATGAGCTGGACTCAGTAATTGGATTGGATGCAGAGAGACAGCAGCCTGGGTGACTGGGCAGATGGTAGGAGCACCGGCTGCAAGGTGGGCGTTGGTGCTGGTCGTGGAGCCTGTCTAGGATGGGAGATGACATGTACTTTGGTATGTGCTGAGCTTGATGAGTTTTAAAATGTACTACATTTGAATGTTAGCTGCACATATATATCTGTGAGAGGATAGAAACAACCGAGGGTGATTTTAGCAAGATAGAGTGAAAATATAAAGCTTTCTGAAGATAGCAGAAAGCCATTATGTAGATCCTTTTCTACTTTTTCTTTGTTTTCTTGCCATAAGAATTAAAATCATAAATAGAGGAGCTTGCCTAGGGAGTCTGCAAGTAAAAATGTGTGCCAGGGATGGAATTCTAGTGACTGCCTAAGTGGCTTTTCACAAAGGAACCTGAGGGTATTGTTGGGCCACGAGGTTCACTGGGGTTTGTAGTGCTGTGCTGATCTATCTGCTGCCTTTTGTCCAGGCCCAGTGCCAAACGACGATATAAAAACCAGAAGTTCGGCTTTGGGGGGAAGAAGAAAGGCTCCAAGTGGAACACCCGTGAGAGCCATGATGATGTGTCCAGCTTCCGGGCCAAGACGGCACATGGGAAAGGCCTTAAGAGGCCTGGAAAGAAAGGATCAAATGTAAGTGAAACAGGCGCCCAGGTGAGGGCAGGCTCAGTCTTCTCCCAACCCCACATCCTCCCTCCCCTTCTTTGTCTGGGGGAGAGGGTCCTGTGCTGTGTGACTGCCTGTGGTTTTATTTTTATGTAGAAGAGACCTGGCAAACGAACTAGAGAGAAGATGAAGAATAGAACCCGTTAAACAGCATCTTTATATATGGAGAACAGGAAGAAGGGATGAAGACTTGGAATTCACAGTACAGTTGGACCCTATCTCTTGTCCTTTTTCTTTTTTTATTGGAAAAAATTCTTTCAATAAATTAAAACTTTTTAATGAAACATATATCCTTGGTTAAAAACTCAGAACTGAAAGATTTAGAAGCACTTTGCATATTAAACAGTTTTGCTTTTATTTATAATTTAAACTGATCCAAATGACCTTTCTTTTATGATAGTTGAAGATTTAGTGTATACCTCCTTCCCTTCCTCGTCCTCATCCTTCTAATTTGTTTTATTACAGTCAATTCCTTTTTTATATTTAATTTATTTTAAAGAGAAAAGAACATAAAACAAAAAGACAAAAACAAAACAACAAAAATGATACAGAATTCCTAAAAAAGATGATAGGAAATTAACAGTGGTTGTTATATTACCTATTGTTATCTTCAAAGTAGTTGCTCAGATTACCAGATATAGGCATGCAGTATTGATCAAACAATTAAACATTAACTGTTCAATAAACCATTAGAAATTAGTAGTACAATTGTCTTAGCTATCTTGTGTATATATACATTTTTTCACTTCTTTTCTCCTTTCCCTCTTCCCAGTTGTTCCTTATGAGCAGTTTCTCTCCCTTTCACAATAATCTGTTGTACCTTTCAGATTTTATTAACTCATTCAGGGTCTTATACTAGGGAGACAATATGATGTTTACACATGGGGGTCTGATTTATTTCACTTATGAGTATGGTCTGGAGTTGCATTCATTTACCTATAAAAGCCTTGAGTTTATCTCTATAGCTAAGTAATACTCCATTGTATTAAAATAGCACATCTTTTTTATCCATTCCTCAGTTGATGGGCATTTGGGTTGTTTCCAAGATTTAGCTATTACGGACTGTGCTGCTGTAAATATGGGTGCATGCATATTGCTGTGGTATGATGTTTTCAGTTCTTCAGGAAAAATACCCAGAAGGGGGATAGCTGGATTCAATGGGACCTCTAATCCTAGTTTCTTGAGGATTCATACTGATTTCCACAGTGGTTGTACCAGTCTACACTCCCACTAGCAGTGGAGAAGGGTTGCTTTTTCCCTAATCCCCTCCATCATTTGTTATTGGTTTATTTCTTGATGACAGCCATTCTTTCTGGGGTGAGATGGAGTCTCAGTGTTTTAATTTGCATTTCTTGAATGACTAATGGTGTTGAACATTTTTTCATCTATTTGCCACTTATATTTCTTCATTTGAGAAGTGTGTATTCATCTCAGATGCCCATTTTTGGATTGGGTATCTGAATTTGACTTTTTTTTTTTGGTACCTGGAATTGAACTCAGGAGCTTGCACTTGCCAGGCAGGCACTTGTACCACTGAGCTATATCCCTGGGCCTAAATAATTATAGCTGCTTCTGCTTGCTTTTTTGGTGAGTACCTGGACATCTAACTCACAACCTTGTTCTTACCAGGCAGGTGTTGTGCCACTGGGCTATATCCCCAGCCCTGGGTCTCTGAATTTTTTTAATTGTATATATGTTCTAGATAGAAGTCCTTTGTTGGGGGACAGTTGGCTAAAATTTTTCCCAGTTCATGGGCTTTCTTTTTACTTTGTTAGTGATTTGATGTGCAAAAACTTTTCAGTAAGATGAGATCCCAGTTGTTGATTCTTTGAAGTATTTCCCATGCAGTTTTGTTTTTGTTCGTGAACTCTCTGCCTACCCCAGTGTCTTCAAGATTTCTACCTACTTTCTCTTCTAGTAGATTTAGTGTTTCTGTTTTAATATTTAGATCTTTGATCCATTTTGACTTTAGTGCATGTTGATAGACATGCATCTAATTTTAGCCTTTGGCATGTGGAGAGCCAGTTCTTCTAGCACCATTTATTAAAGAGGCTATCTTTCTTCCAGTGAACATGTTTGGCCCCTTTGTCAAAGATAATGTGGCTGAGTGTGTTTGTGGTTGGCTAAATCTTCTAGTCTGGTCCATTGATTCTCAGGTCTGTTTTTTTGCCAATACCATGCTGATTTTATCACAGCAGCATTGTAGTATAATTTCAAGTCAGGGATTGTGATGCCTCCTACCTTTCCTTTGTTGCGTAGGATTGCTTTGCTATTTTGGGTCTCTTCTGGTTCCAGATGAATTTTAGGAATGTTTTCTCTAGATCTGTGAGGTATACTAATGGTAATTTGATCAGAATTGCATTGAATCTGTATAACAGTTTTGGGAGTATGGCCATTTTCACAATGCTGATTCTTCCTATCCATGAGCAAGGAATATCTTTCCATTTTCTGAAATCCTCTTTGATCTCTTTTTTTTAGAGTACTGTAATTTTTACTGTATAGATCTACTTTGTTAGATTGATTCCTAAGTATTTTGGTTTTTTGGATGCTATTATGAAAGGTGTGGTTTCCCTAATTTCTCTGTCAGTGTGTTGGTTGTTTGTGTATAGGAATGCTGTTGATTTTTGAGTGTTGACTTTGCATCCAGCTATACTACTGAATTTGTGTATTAATTCTGGGAGCCTTTTGGTGGAGTTTTTGGGGTCTTGCAAGGAGAGTATCATGTCATCTGTGAATAATGATAATTGCACTTCTTCCTTTTCTGTCCTTACTCCTTTTATTTTTTTCTCTTGTCTAATTGCTTTGGCTAATGTTCCCAGTACTGTGTTGAATAGGAGTGGTGATACTGGACATCCTTGTGTTCTTCCTGATTTTAGAGTGAAAGCGTTCAGCTTTTGTCCATTTATTTAGAATAATGTTGTCTGTTGGTTTGTCATAGATGGCTTTGATCAGGATGAGGTAAAGTACATCTATTCTGATTTTCTGTAGGGTTCTTATTATGAATTTGTGTTGAACTTTGTGAAAAGCTTTTTCTGCATTTATTGAGAGGATCATGTGATCCTTGTCTTTGATTCTGTTGATATGGTATATTACAATCATTGATTTTTGTATATTGAACCATCCTTGCATTCCTGGGATGAATCCCACTTGGTCATGATGTATAATCTTGATGATTTGCTACCTTCTGTTAGCTAGTATTTTATTGAGAATTTTTGCATCTGTGTTCATTAGGGAGATTGGCCAGTAGTTCTCTTTTTTGGTTGAGTCTTTCTCTGGTTTTGGTATCAGAATAATACTTGCCTCCAGGAATGAATTAGGGACTATTGCTTCCCTTTCTATTTCACTAAAGAGTTTGAGGAGAATTGGCAGTAGATCTCCTCTAAATTTCTTTTAGAATTCATCTGTGAATCCATTAGGACCTGGGCTTTTCTTTATTGGTAAGTTTTCTTTACGTTTTTAATTGCATTGACTGATATTCGGTTATTCAGGATTTTTATATTTCCTTGATTTAGCTTTGGCAAGTCATATATATCTAGGAATCTGTCCATTTCTTCTGTGTTTTCCATCCTATGAAGGTAAAGATTTTTGAAGTAAGTACTGATCTTCTGAATTTCTGCAGGCTCTGTAGTGATTTCATCCTTTTTATTCCTGATTGCATGGATTTGAGTTTTTTCTTTCCTTTTTTTAATAAGGTTGGCTGTTAAGGATTTATCAGTTTTATTTATTCTTTCAAAGAACCGACTCTTGATTCATTAATTCTTTGTATTGTTTTCATGGTCTCCATAGTGTTAATTTCTGCTCTTATCTTTATAATTTGTTCCCTTCTTTAGGCTTTGGGCTTGACTTGCTCTTTTTTTTCTAGAAGCTTGTGGTGTAGCCCAAGGTTATTTATTTGTTCTTGTTCTGTTTTCCTGATGTGGGAATTCACCACTGTAAACTTCCCTCTGAGGACTGCTTTCATTGCATTCCACAGGTTCTGGTAAGTTGTATCTGCATTTTCATTTGATTGTAAACATTGTTTAATTTCTTCTTTAATTTCATCTGTGACCCATTGGTTATTCAGGAGGGTGTTACTTAATTTCCATGTGTTTATGGCATTTTTGCAATTTATTTTATCAGTTTCCAATTTTATTGCACTATGGTCTGATAATATGCATGGGATAATTTTAATTCTTTTGCATTTACTTAAGCATGTTTTATGTGCTAGTATATGGTCAATTTGAGAAAACGTCCCCTATGCAACAGAAAATAACGTGTGTTCTGATATTGTTGGTTAGAACACTCTGTAAAGGTCTACTAAGTCTCTTTGTTCCCCGCAGTCAATTCTTACAAAGGTAGATGCATTATACTCAGATTTCCTCTGAGGTACTGTTGTTGGTTTTTCCTCTTTCCTAATTTTCTCTCTGTGTCCTCATTTTTCCCACATATTTATCATTTTGTCCACTCTGTGATTTTCGTGCTCTATGCTAAGGCTGCTGTAAAACTTACTACCCTGACTCTACTAGACTGTTAAGGTTGGCCTCAGTATCTCGTGGATCCCATAGTTTCCTTGTTAGTTTATACCTCATTTGTTACATACTATTTGTTATTATCTTAAGAAAGGTAATATGAGAAGTCAGTTTTTCATTATTAGAGGCCATTTTTCTGAAATTGCCTTTACTTTGACTTGCAAAATTTTCCTTAAAAATGTTGAAGGCCCTTTGATCTGCAGCCTCTTGTGTTGCATTGAGCAATCTGGTGCCTCCATCATTCTCTTGCTCTCTGGAAGCTTTTCTATTTTTTTTTTTTTCTCTTTGGGTACCAGGAATCAAACTCAAGACTGCATTTGCCAGGCAGGCACTGTGCCACTGAGCTATATCCCCAGCCCTAGAAGCTTTTGATGATTGGCGATTTTAAGGTGCCCTGCCTTTATGTTGGTCTGCTTCTATTTTTTATTAGAGTGTTTAGTAGGATTGAAGTTCTTTGTAGGAAATTCTGTTTGATAACCTGTTTTTCTTGCCATTTTCTTTCGCTGTAATTCTGGAATTTCTGTTGAAGGTTATATTTTGCTTCTACTTTGGGGTAAAGATTTCTTTGATTCTATTTTCAAATTATTTTATTGAATATTTGCTTTAGGTTTTTTTTTTTTTTTTTTTTTTGGTTTTTCTTTTTTTTTGCCAATACCATACTGATTTTCTCTCAGTAGCTTTGTAGTATAATTTTTGGTTTTTCTCCGGTACCGGGAACCGAACTCACAACCTTGCGCTTGCCAGGCAGGTGCTTTGCCGCTGAGCTAAATCCCCAGCCCC